GTCCCTGTCTCTCTGGAACTGGGAAGCCCAACTGGGGAGACCTTCTCGCTTTCTACCACTGCCTGACAGGAGGTTGTAGAGAGGCGAGGTCGGTCTCTTCTCTCAAGAAACAGCCTCAGGTTGCACCAGGGGAAGTTTAGATTGGACATCAGGAGAAATTTTTTCACAGAAAGGGTTGACAAGCACTGGCACAGGCTGCCCAGGGGAGTGGAGGCGGGAACATCCCTGGAGGATTGTGCTTAGGGATACGGTTTAGTTGAGGACTTGTCAGTGTGTCAGTGTTCAGTTCATGGTTGGACTTGATGATCTTAAAGGTCTTGCCAACCTAAACGACTCTCTGATTCTATGAAGAGGATGAAAAAGAACAGGGTGCAGACAGAGTAAGACACATTGAGAGGAACACTTGCTGCAGCATCCTTCCAAAACGATGGATGATGCTCAACCTTTCACTGCAGGCTGGGGACCGACTGAGCGAAGGAGCGAGCAAAGCCCGGGAGGAAGGGCAGCAGCTCACTTACATCTGTCTGTACCATCTGGCAGCGCTGAGCCCGGATCCGGCTCACAAAGCCGTAAACGTCCACCTTCCTCTCTGCGTGCATCATGTCCAGCATGGCATCGATGACGATGAAAGTGCCCGTGCGTCCCACCCCGGCGCTGAAAAAGCAGAGGGGACAAGCGATCAGTGTGGCTGTGTTGGTGTCAGAGTCCCTCGCAGATGTTTCTCAGCACTGAGTAAATAGCAAAATCTGGTTTGGAGATGAGAGAGGTCCTCAGCCTGGTGATTGGTGTCGCCTGGGTTTGGCAGAGACATGCGCACAGCGTGTCCAGCAACTGGCACGCACGAAGGCACCGAGCAGGGTGAGCCAAAGTGAAACTTGTTTCCGTGCTGGTAACTCAACCGTTAAGGAGAAGAAGAAAGACGAGGCCAGCAGACACCACGGCAAGACAAAGCTCTTTGGTCAGCTGCCTCCTGAGGAGAAAGCTGGGAAGAGGGACTTGGGAGGTTGCAAATGTGATCATCATCTCTGCCTTTAGCCAGGGCACTCTCCCTTACAGACAGCCTCTGTGGCCCCCCCAGGCTTGCTGCTGTGCCCGAAACGACTCCGCGAGAGGTCAAACACTGTGGTCCCCGCTCCCAGGCACGCTGTCAGCTGAGTGCTGCCTTCTCATGACAAGGGATGTTCTCCTCCGGTGCCCAGGGCAGCAGAGAGTCAAGGGAGATGCCCCCAGTGCTCAGCAGGGCGGTTAAGCTTGGCTCACTCAGCACCCAGCTAGCCCAAAGGACCATCTCAACATGAGCTGTACCACCACCACAGCGCTGATTTCACAAAGTTCCTTCAATTCATACGCTTCGTTTTTTGAAGGTTCTCATGTGGAATATTCCCATTTCAGATGGCAAAAGTAAATAGGAATTATAAAAAAGGCTTGATCGAAAAAAACTCCCTTTAGTATTAAATAGGAGACGTTTTCCAAGTGGTCAGTCATGACCAGGACGTACCTGCAGTGCACGACTATTGCCCCTGCGTATTGGGGATTACATGTCTTCACCTTCTTCAAGAACTTCAGCATCCCGATGGGGGTGAAGGGGACCCCGAAGTCGGGCCAGCTGGTGAAGTGGAACTGAGTCACCAGGCGCTGAGGCTTCTTGTTCGTGACGTCCCCAACCTGAAGGGGAAATGTGCATTTGGGATAATGATAAAAGACTCAGATTTTCCCTTTTTTTTTTTTCCCCCCCAAAAGCAAGGGCAGAGAGGGAGCTACAGCCCCAAGACAGCTGGATGGCTTAAGGGCACAGACCCAAACTCTGGAGCCAAACTAGTTTCTAAACCCATGATATTTTAATTGCCCAACATCACATCCTGCATCTTAGCGGTGAGAGATTCCAGCTGCTGCTCCATCCTTTCCCCACCTCTGCCCAGAGCACCCTCAGTTAAAGGTGGGGAGGAGACCACCCAGCTCCAGGCCCTCTGGGTGTGGGGTGAGGGTCAGGAGAACCCCACTCGGGGTGCAGATGGGTTTTCAATCACCAGCTCTTCCTTGCTTGCCTCTGAGAGCAGCAGGAAAACGGAGCAACTAAAGCATCCAGAACCTCCTCCTTGGATGAGAAAATGTAGCAACAGATGGGAAAGCAATCACAACCATGGCTCATGGGATAATGATAGAATCATAGAATGTCTTAGGCTGGAAGGGTCCTCAGAGATCATCTAACCCAACGCCCTGCCATGGGCAGGGACGCCCTTAACCAGCCCAGGGTGCTCAAGGGCTCATC